GTAGTAGTATGTTATGTTGTAGTAGTATGTTATGTTGTAGTAGTATGTTATGTTGTAGTAGTATGTTATGTTGTAGTAGTATGTTATGTTGTAGTAGTATGTTATGTTGTAGGAGTATGTTATGTTGTAGGAGTATGTTATGTTGTAGGAGTATGTTATGTTGTAGGAGTATGTTATGTTGGTGGAGTATGTTATGTTGGTGGAGTATGTTATGTTGGTGGAGTATGTTATGTTGGTGGAGTAGGAGTATGTTATGTTGTAGTAGTATGTTATGTTGTAGGAGTATGTTATGTTGTAGGAGTATGTTATGTTGTAGGAGTATGTTATGTTGTAGTAGTATGTTATGTTGTAGTAGTATGTTATGTTGGTGGAGTAGTAGTATGTTATGTTGTAGTAGTAGTATGTTATGTTGGTGGAGTAGTAGTATGTTATGTTGGTGGAGTAGTAGTATGTTATGTTGTAGTAGTATGTTATGTTGTAGTAGTATGTTATGTTGGTGGAGTAGTAGTATGTTGGTGGAGTAGTAGTATGTTATGTTGGTGGAGTAGTAGTATGTTATGTTGTAGTAGTATGTTATGTTGTAGTAGTATGTTATGTTGTAGTAGTATGTTATGTTGTAGTAGTATGTTATGTTGTAGTAGTATGTTATGTTGTAGTAGTATGTTATGTTGTAGTAGTATGTTATGTTGTAGTAGTATGTTATGTTGTAGTAGTATGTTATGTTGGTGGAGTATGTTATGTTGTAGTAGTATGTTATGTTGTAGTAGTATGTTATGTTGTAGTAGTATGTTATGTTGTAGTAGTATGTTATGTTGGTGGAGTAGTAGTATGTTATGTTGGTGGAGTATGTTATGTTGTAGGAGTATGTTATGTTGTAGGAGTATGTTATGTTGGTGGAGTAGTAGTATGTTATGTTGTAGTAGTATGTTATGTTGTAGTAGTATGTTATGTTGGTGGAGTAGTAGTATGTTATGTTGTAGTAGTATGTTATGTTGTAGTAGTATGTTATGTTGTAGTAGTATGTTATGTTGTAGTAGTATGTTATGTTGTAGTAGTATGTTATGTTGTAGTAGTATGTTATGTTGGTGGAGTAGTATGTTATGTTGGTGGAGTAGTAGTATGTTATGTTGTAGTAGTATGTTATGTTGTAGTAGTATGTTATGTTGTAGTAGTATGTTATGTTGTAGTAGTATGTTATGTTGTAGGAGTAGTAGTATGTTATGTTGTAGGAGTATGTTATGTTGTAGGAGTATGTTATGTTGTAGGAGTATGTTATGTTGGTGGAGTAGGAGTATGTTATGTTGTAGTAGTATGTTATGTTGTAGTAGTATGTTATGTTGTAGTAGTATGTTATGTTGTAGGAGTATGTTATGTTGTAGTAGTATGTTATGTTGTAGTAGTATGTTATGTTGTAGTAGTAGTATGTTGTGGTGTAGTAGTGTTAGTATTAGTATTACTAGCAGTAGAAGTGAATCCACCAGTTTAGGTAAGTAGAGCTGCAACTAACGGTTATTTCACTACCGATTAATCCGTCACTTATTTTCTGCGTTAATCGATCAGTCGTTTGATCTATAAAAAGTCAGAATATGTTAGATGGCGTCCTTAAACGTCTTGTTTTGTCCCAAAGATATTCAATCTTTACTGTCACAGAGGAAACCAGGAAATATTCACATTTAAGAAGCTGGAATCAGAGAATTTAGACGTTTTTTTCTTTTAAACTATGACTCAAGACGATAATAAAAATAGTTGGTGATTAATCTAACAGGTGTTACTGGGACTCTGCTCAAAAGGTAAACATCTGATATGCAAGAGTTCCCACCAGCTGCAGAGGACCCTGAACTACACATGAGAGCAGCTTTAAACAGCTTGCTGTCAAATCTGTATATCAACACATTAGCTTTAGTGTTTGAGTTCATGCTGATTTTCTTTTAAACATGCTTGAACATGATAACTGTCATTTTCTTCAGTCATTTAATTATTATTAAATGACGTGTTTGATGGCGCTGGGATCAGTGTGAGCCGAGAGAAACCCTGACATAAGAAGTTATTTAAAGCTTTTGTTTATTAGAACAATCTGTCTTTTCACTCATCTCGTTTGCAATTTATTGTTTTGTTTATTCAGATTTGTTTGTTTTCTGTCTTGCACATTCATGCATACATTTGTTTAATTATTTGTAGTAACGTGTGCATAAAGAGTTACTCGTTGGTTTGTTAGTTTTTCCCAGCAGAAAGCGTAAATGGTGCATGTAGAGAGTCTGTATATTAGGTTTATTCTCATGATTACAGATCTGTGTTTGGGGGAGAAAGGATCTGTAGTCGTGGTTAAAGCCTAGCGGTGTAAAGTTTATTCAAGTTAACATTTTTCTGGCTACTCTCTAAATAAAGAAAGAAATAACTGATCTTTGACATGAAGTCGAGTTTTTTCCCTCCACATATTTTTAGTTCAGTTCAGAATCTGAAACCTTCCTCCATCAGTGGTTACTAAGAGCAGCAGAGACCTTCGGGCCGGCAAACATCCAGAAATAGTCGTTTCCCATGAAGACCAGAGTCCCAACAGATCCAGGACCAGCTGTGGACTTTAATCCTTCACTATCTGACAGGAAGCTCCTAAAACGGGACAAAGCTACAGAAAACATTTCAGGTTGCACAACATTCGGCTCAAAGGTCCTTCAAGTGTTCACTTGAAGAGCCTGACGACCTTTGACCTCCAGAAAAAAACAGCTAACAGCAGTCAGGCAGTAACGTGTGAGGCGACTTAAACTCTGCTTCCTTACTTTGCAAAACAAAATGCTCCGGTTGCTCTTGCAGCAGAACCTTTGGGACTACCAGAGCACTGCTGACGCATCACGTAGTAAATACACGTGTAAAATAACCCAACAGGTCGCTCGACCCCTTGACACGATACCCGATCCAGCTATTCGAGTCAGTATCGGGCAGTGCAGCTCATCAGAAACGCAAATTAACTCATTTATCCACATTCACACACCGACGGCAGCAATTCAGGGTTCATTATGTTGGCCAAGGACACGTCGACATGCAGACTGGGAGAGCGGGGGATTTTAAATCATTTGTGTGGCGGCATTTTGGGCCCCCGCTGTATAAAAACTCAGCTAAAAATCAACCGCACCAGGAAACACTGAAAGGCCAGATTTTATACTGTTTTTAATTTATGTTTACTTTGTTGAGGGGAGTTCAGTTAGAAGGTCACACACACACAGCGCCGATTGGAAGTTATCAGATATGATGTTTGATTTGTGATAATTCACACCCAGAAAGTAGAACGTCATTACAAGATGACAAGTTGAAACATTTTTAAATGCACCTGCGTCATTTTCCATTTTGTGACCTTCAGGAGAACAAAAGATTTTTTTTCCAGTCACATATTTCTCAAATATAGTGTTGAAATATCTTCTCATCCTCGTGAACCCAAGTGTATCGTCACACAACTATTTATATTTATATAAATAAAACAACTGACCTATGAATTTCAGTGCCTAGCAATGCAGTGAAAATGTCTCGGACTCATGACCTCCTGAAATTATTTCCAAGCTTTGTCACAAAGTCCTGCTTGGTCAAAGTTTTTAAATATATAATGACATATTTTTAAAGAACAGGCAATATCTGTGACTTGAATGCAAATGTCTAAAATTTATAAGCTGTTTACACAAACTGAGGCTGGTTGTGTATAATGTAAATATGGTTCTCTCACCTGAGACACCTGCACAGGTGACCTGAGGGAGAGCCAATGAGCTGCTGCAGCCACTTTACACCTGTCTCTCAGGAGGACACTGTCTATCCGGCTTTAGACTTGACACTATATCAATGTGGGTCCGCTTTTAGGGGAATAAAAGATTGAATTAAAACATTATACGAGGCTACATGTTTGTTTTTCCCAGGTGAGCTCGAGCCCGTCAGGTCAGAAATGGCAGCTGAAGTCAAAGATAACAGGAACCGTTTGTTAGGAGATAAAAAGGACACCGCGGAGACCTTCCGGTAACCCCGGCTGGAACAATACGGAGCCGTGATATCTCTGCCAACCCCGGCAACCGGACTCCACTCAGGCCAAGCCAAACAAAAGGGACCGACACACCGGGCAGCCCCGGACACACGGGCGGGGACAGACCGCCTGTTGCCCGGGCTGCTTCACACACGCGCATACCTGTGCGACAGCGTTAGCTCGGCTGGTTCCCTTCTGTCTTTCATTCAGCGGTTTTTCTGTCAGTGACAAAGTCTGGGTCACTATGCGAAACGAGGACCTGCCCTTGGCATTCATTTGTCTCACAAAACACACTAGAGCGCCAAATCCCATTCAAAATTCTGGCGATTTAAGGTGAACTCGTGTTTCAGTAAGTATACACGTTGGCCTGGACGTTCACAGGGTTGTAAGGAGCTGTTTTGAATACCATTAGTAATTTCGGCATATATGAGCCACCATTAGGAACTACATTTTCAATAAATTGCTTAGTAAAACCTTCGTTTTGGTTCACAGTACTCGCTATCGCCTACCACTACGCAACGCTCAATTCTTTGCAAGAAATCACATGAGAAGTGGTAATAAAAGTTGAATATAAATGAATTGAACACATTTGTGTGCGATTGATGTATGCCGAAACGAAGATGTGATCTCGATACTTAGTTAAATGATGTTTTTTCGTGTGTATCTGACTGTAAATATCTACGGAATCATTTAATGTGAAATTCCCAATGCAGTCCGGTGCGGGTGTTCTCCGCTTACAAGAACCGAAGGGCCACCTTTCCTTCTACAGAGCCGAGGAGGGCAGATCATGTTGCCTCGGTTTGCATTTACATTTTCTGTGAAGTCTGAACCACGAGCTCATAAAATCATTATATATTCATTTTTTCCCGATTTGAGCAGATAGTTAAATAAAACATCTGCGGGTTTTTGTTAATGACCTGCGGTTCGTGCGACCGAGAGAAATGTTTGTCTCCGGGCGGAGCTGAGGGAGGAATGTGAAGTGGAATCATTAAAAGCAGCTTACCTGCAGGTGTGGGCTTCATCAAATAATCCGTGTAACGTTAGAAAAACATGGCACAAAAAAATAAGCGCTTATATCTCCCGACCAGGCGGGTTGTTCCGCCTCCTCGGAACTCTTTATATCCGACAATCTGAACTCCTGTCCGGCTGCAGAAGTTGTTGTTTGCTCCGGAGAAGCCACTTGTATAAAACTACACTTGACTTTGAATTATGTGAGAAAGCTGCTGCAGCAGCAGCACAACCTGCAGAGAGCCGGGAGGTTTCAGCCCTGAGTGATGACTGGCAGGCAACACCAGCTGCCTTCAGTGGACACGCCCCATTCGGTATCCAAGTTACACACCACAACATGTACTTATACACAGAAGAAGTACTTAGATATTTTGCTTCAGTTAATAGAAATATTCTGTAAGTAAAAACCCTGCATTCACAATCTTTCAAAGTAAAAGCATGAGCTTACCAAAAGTAGCCTACTTCATGATGCAGAATGACCTATTTCAGAATAATATGTAATATTATTGGATTACTACGGAAGACCTAATTCATTCTCTTCATTTTATTCACTCCATTTTCCAATGCTAGCAATTTGTTTTTCCTAAATAACAGGATCATTTTTATCAATATTCTCCTGCTCCTCTGACATTGGTAAAAATGAAGCTCCTTTTAATTACTTTCTGTATTTTTATATATATGTATACATTGTTTAATACTGATAGTTTTTGAAATTCATCCTGATTGTTCACTGCACTGTAACTTTTATTTTATATTAATGTATATTTTTTCAATTTCCCTATGTTGCTTTTAAACTTTTTTATATTTTCCTGTTGCTTTTATGTTTTATGTAAAGCACTTTGAATTACCTTGTTGTCAGTACTAACATCAGAAATTATTTATTAATTATATTTTGTATTATTAATCTGCAAAGTAAATCAGACTATCGTAGTATGTAGTATTTGCCTCTGATAAGTATTAGAGTAAAAGTAGGAAGAATGTATGTATTTTAAAAACCTTCTTAGACATGAGCTGCGTTCAAAATCGCTTCCTATTTGCTTCGTTGTGAGCAACATTTACTCGCCACTATTTTCATTTGAGTGTCTGAATTCTTGAGCGTGAAATTTATGAAAGCTCCACAAAAATTCCAACAAAGGAAGGAAAAAGTAAAGACAAATATTTCACTAATAAATTACATCCTAGTGAGACAAAAGTGACTTGTGCACTTGTTCAAACATGAGACCGACATGTATGGAGACCAAGAGGGTTCAATATTAAATACATGAATAAATACACACAGAATAGGTGATGTAATTCAGCCATGAGATGTGGAACAATCTACATTTTAAACTGATCTCAATTTTATGTTTTTTTTATTCCACATGATGTGATTTCATGTTTTTCTATAAATAAAATGATATAAAATTAAAGTTATACGAATCTTTTAATCACAGAGAGCCACTGGCCAAACTGTGCATTCAGAAAAACGTGATTTTTATCTTTGTGTCACTTTTCACCTGTAGGTTTGATCGCTGCACTACTCATCTGTAGACTTCACATACAACCTGCGATAATTACAGCGGTATGACCCCAAAATAAACATTTTGCTGTGATTTCATTGCAATCAATGGATCAAAATGATGCCGGAATAAGTTCAAGATGATGCAAATTTGTGAAACATGAATTCATGCTTTGTCAGGTCTGTGAGAAAGACAGCAGGACAACAATTTCTAAAGTGCTTGTTTTCTGAATGGAGTTCGGATTGATCAGACTTATGCTGTGCTAACTTGCTCACAGCAAAGTAAAACAATAGCTGGATTAATTACACATATTTGTGATTTATAATCACAGGTTTGAAGGAGGTGAGTGCCTTCCAGTCAAAACTCAGGGACAAGAAAACAACTCTTCTCTGTGTAAAGAGCATGGAGGTTAGGACGCCCCCTGCTGGTCAACTCACACACTACAGGATGCTAATGACATTTGTCTTCAGTCTGAGGTGGGAACAAAGTACATTTACTCAAGTACTATACTAGAAGTACTTGTGCTTTACTTGAGTATTTCCATTTTATGCACCTTTTTATATGTAATATTGCACTTTTTTATTGTACTTTTTCCCCCTCCTAAACATGTGTCAGACAGTTTTTCATCCCCTTCCAGTCCGGTGAAAACCACCAGATGTGGTGACTTTGTATGTTGGTGATTAACTGCAGGATGAAGAGTTCCTTTATGGTAAAAATCCTCCTCCTTAAACTATTGCTGCGTTCCAGACAAGTCATATATGGAGGCTTGGTCAAGACCCCTTGTTCTCGCTTTCTAACATGGTTTTGTGTTGGTTGGGTGTGTTTTTAGTTGTTTCCTGTGTTACGTTGTAGTTTTGGTTTGCCCTCGTGTTCTGGTCTTGTTTTACAACTGGGACCTGACTGGATTGGGAAGGGAGACAGAAGTATGTGGAGGTCTGTATTTCAAAAAAAAAAAACATTATTGTTTCTGATGGAATGGCATCAAATACTACTGCAAATTTTATATATTTTTTTGTTATTATTCATTTTGTTCTTTATTTTTTCTCATTATTCATTATGTTTTTTGTTTTTTTCTTATTATTCATTATGTTTTTTTTCTTATTATTCATTATGTTTTGTTTTTTTCTCATTATTCATTATGTTTTTTTTTCTTATTATTCATTATGTTTTTTGTTTTTTTCTTATTATCCATTATGTTTTGTTTTTTTCTTATTATTCATCATTCATTTTTTTATTATTATTCATTATGTTTATTTTTCATTATTGTTTTATTATTCATCATTCATTTTTTCAATTATTATTCATTATGTTTTTATTTTTTATTATTCATAAGTCATTTTTTATTATTATTCATTATGTTTTTTTCATTATTTATTGTTTTATTATTCATCATTCATTTTGTTTTATTCATTGTGTTTTTTTATGTTTTATTAGTATTTTTTTTTCTTATTATTCATTGTTTATTTTTCATTATTTACTGTGTTTTATTATTCATCATTCATTTTTTTTATTATACATTATGTTTATTTTTCATTATTTATTGTTTTATTATTTATTATTCATCATTCTTTTTATTATTATTATTATTCATTCTGTATTTTTTTTATTTATGCATAGTTCACTACAGTAACAAAAATGCAAAATACACAGATAATCAATTACATTTTACATTGCCAGAAGCTCAAATTAAATTCAGTTCTTTATTATTACTGAGACATTTAATCCTTTTTATTTGTTATTGAGGTGCAGCAGTGTTTCAGTTCAAGTGTAAATCGACTGAAGCAGCGTTTGTTTTGGATCCTTTGGGTCCATGTGGAATTTTCCCAGTATGATGAGGAGCTGCACAACATATTTACACAGTCACGTGACATTAATGACACATTAATTAGTAAACTCTACCCGTGTGTCCGGATTCATGACGTATCCACGCTCCCGCTGACGTAGGAGTGAATCACTTCCTGTGGCAGTGACCCGGATGCTAACCGAGCGGACACGCCGCTTCTTGTCGTGTGTGAATCTGAACCGACGTGCAACTGATTTCTGGAGGCTTCGCAGCGGCTCCGCGATGAGTTGACGGGACAGGAGGAGGAAACGAATGATGAATTAAGTTTTCATTAAGGTGAGCTCTCCTGAACGCGCCCTTTGTTCCGCTATTAGCTCACTTTACAAACGGCTAACGTTACGGCGGAGTTTGTCATCGTGAGATTTCCACACAGCGGCGGTGATGTGATTGACGGGCGACGTTACCGCGATAAACAAGAATAAAAACACAATAAAACCGCTTCTACTTCCCCCCCGGACTGTCAGTATACCTGTCTCTGAACGCTCCCCGGTGTTTCAGTTATTGTTACACGGTCAGGATCACCGCAGCAGTCGAGTTTAGAAGCTAGCCGGCTAACGCTAGCTTGAGTTAGCGGCTAAGTGTATGTGAGATAAGTTGTTAGCTTGTAGCTTCGCGGTGTCAACTTTTATTTTTTGAGGAGCGGTCCAACATCCGCAACACGGGTCATCTGTGTCGCAGTCTAACCACTGAAACGCTCAGTGGAGCTGTTAGCATGTGTGTTGCTAACAGCAGATAAGGTGGCTAAAGAAAGTGTTGACGCTGCGTTGCATCAGATGAAGGCTGAGCTGTCAGCCTGTATTGATCCTCCTCTTCATCAGCCTCCATAAACACGCTTTAAACGGCCGGTTGAAGTAAACACGAGCTGTCAGCGCTGATCAGGTGTGTTTCAGGTGTGTTTCTGGCCTCTAACACAAACAGGTGCTGACTCACTCTCAGCTCACCTGGATGCCACATTGTCATGATGCTTGGCTAAAACCCCCCGAGCACGTTACAGGAGGCCACAGCAGCTACATCTGCTGCGATTAATACAACACTTGCAGACTATTAAGTCGCCAGCTATCTTTATAATCGATTAATCAGTGAATTTTGAAGGCAAGGCAACTTTATTTGTATAGCACATTTCAACAACAAGGTAATTCAAAGTGCTTTACATAAAACAGCAACAACAGGGAAATATAAAAAAGTTTAAAAGCAACATAAAATAGAATAAAAGTTACAGTGTTACAATCAGGGTTAAAAGAGTTAAATGGAAAATAATAAAAAGCAAAAAACAAAGGAAAAAGTAAACAGGACAGTAAAAGTTATCAATAAAAAGAAAAATCTTAAATATTTAATTAAAAGCAATGGTAAAAAGAAAAGTTTCAGCAGACCTGCAGTTATCTGGGAGTTTGTTCCAGATATACGGAGCATAATAACTGAACGCTGCTTCTCCTTGTTTAGTTTTGACTCTGGGGACAGAAAGCAGACCTGCCCCAGACGACCTGAGAGGTCTGGATGGTTCGTAACGAAGCAGAAGATCAGAAATGTATTTTGGCCCTAAAACATTTAGTGCTTTATAAACTAACAGCAGGATTTTGAAATCAGTTCTTTGACTTACAGGAAGCCAATGTAAAGACCTCAGAACTGGAGAGATGTGATCCACCTTTTTGGTCTTAGTGAGGACTCGAGCAGCAGCGTTCTGAATCAGCTGCAGCTGTCTGATGGATTTCTTAGGGAGCCTGTAAGGACACTGTTACAGTAGTCGAGTCGACTGAAGATAAATGCATGGATAAGCTTTTCCAGGTCCTGCTGAGACATAAGTCCTTTTATCCTTGATATATTCTTCAGGTGATAGTAGGCTGACTTTGTAATTGTCTTAATGTGGCTCCTCAAATTCAGGTCTGAGTCCATGACCACACCAAGATTTCTGGCTTGAATATGTGGTTCTTAACATTACAGATTGAAGTCGAGCACTGACTTTCAATCGTTCCTCCCTGGCTCCAAAAACAATAACTTCAGTTTTATCTTTGTTTAATTGAAGAAAATTCTGGCACATCCAATCGTTGACCTGCTCAATACAGTTACTCAGCGCCTGTATGGGATCATAGTCCCCTGGTGAAATGGTTATGTAAATAAAGAAAAAAGAAAAAACACGTTGAAATTCTCAGATTTCAGCTTCTTAAATGTGAATAATTTCTGGTTTCTTTCCTCTGTGACAGTAAACTGAATATATTTGAGTTGTGGACAAAAAAGATGGTTTAACAGATAGATTAATCAATTTGTTGTTAGGTTCAGAAAATGGTGAAATATATCAATCAGTGTTTCCCCAAAGCTCAAGATGACGTCCTCAAATGTCTTGTTTTGTCCACGACCCAAATATATTCAGTTTGCTGTCCCAGAGGAGGAAAGAAATGATGCCTGCCTTTGGTCTGAGAGACCCGGTTCAACTCTCCACTGTGACACATCCACCAAAGTGTCCCTGAGCAGGACACTTAACCCCTCGTTGCTCCAGAGGCGTGCGACCTCTGACATGTATCGCAATTGTAAGTCGCTTTGGATAAAAGCATCAGCTAAATGAATAAATGTAGATGTCAGTCGGTGTTTCCCCAAAAATCAAGATGATGTCCTCAAATGATTTGTTTTTGTCCTCAACCCAAATATATTCAGTTTACTGTCCCAGCGGAGGAAAGAAACCAGAAAATATTCACATTTAATAAGCTGGAATCAGAATTTTGACGTTTTATCTTCAATGGAAAAAAAGACACAAAGCAACTAGCAAAATAACTGAAGATTAAAGTAACAGTTGGAACCTAGTGTGATTAATCAGTTGTTAGATCCAATAACTTGTAAAAAATGTCGTCTTAACCCAAAAGATATTCTGTTTACTGTCACAGAGGACAAAATAAACAAGAAAATTGTGAAAATTAGGGCTTCAACTAATGATTATTTTCATAATTGATTAATCTGTCCATTTTTTTCTCAATTAATGAATTAGTCGTTAGGTCCAGAAAATGGGATAAAGTGTTGATCTGTGTTCCTCCAACGTCTTGTTTTGTCCACGACCCAAATATATTCAGTTTGCTGTCACAGAGGAGGAAAGACACCAGAAAACATTCACATTTAAGAAGCTGCAATCAGAGAATTTGAATCTTTTTTGTCTTTTATAAAAGGACTGAAAACAATTAATTGATTATCAAAATAGTTGGTAATTAATTTTATAGTTGACAACTATCAGGTCTGTGACAACAAAAGGGGGCTGTGCAACAGACTTGATATTATTGTAGGGCCACGCTGCCCGACTCTACTTCCCACTGAGGTTTGTGAAGTGAACACTACGTGACTAAAGCCCTGGGTAAGGTGCAGAGATTCAACCTACACCAGTGCTGACTCACTCACATAGTTTCTGTTGGTCGCCTCACCTGGATACCACAGCTGACCTCACCACAGCTGCAACTAATGATTATTTTGATTAATCTGCAGATTACATTTCTCGCTTCGTTGTACTGAACCGCAGTTTGATTTGGGTACAAAATCCTCCATGTACTGCAGCCAGTTTTTGGTTATTTGTGTTATGAAATGTAGCATAGCAGGGGCAGTAGAGATGAGAGCTCTCAGGATATTTCGCCTCAGGGGTTTTTGCTTCTTTCTCACCAGATGAGAGAAATCTGCCTGACAGCAGCAGAGAGGAGTGAACCTGCCTGGAAGGAGGAAAGCTAACCCACGGATGGCCTGCCAGTCTGTCGCTGCAGTCATGGACGAGCAGGCCCTGCTGGGGCTCAACCCGAACGCCGATGCCCGCTACAGGCAGAGGGTAACACACTGTTTGCACACAAATGGGGACCAAATGAAGGGTTAATCCTGCCATGGATCGTGTAGAGTTTAGGCCTTTCTCACAGTTTAGACTACAGAGACAATCTGCAGTAAAATAAAGTACTCAATGTTTTTTTGCCTGCCGTGTCTCACCTTAATTATTCAAATTGTTGATGCAGAGATTTGTAAACTGGTAGTGATTCTCTGCACCGTCTTTAGCACCGCTGCGGGAGAGGTGATAGATTAACGAGCAGGACAGCTTTGTGGCAGTATTAGAAAGCTGTGTTGATGGTTTAATATTGGTGTCTGTGGTTCCTCAGGCCATGGTATACTTTGAGCAGCTGAAGGAGTCTCAGGATGCCTGGGAGGTTTGTGCAGAGGCCCTCGCTAAAGGAATTTACAAGTGAGTTTCACGTCCACAGCTCTGATGCAGGATGAGTTGCTCCTCTTACAGCTGCTGATGGATCGATTCAGACGCGTGTGAACATGATTCAATCTGTTTGTTATTCCAGTGACGACCATGTGAAGTTCTTCTGCTTCCAAGTTCTGGAACATCAGATTAAGTTCAGGTGAGGAGGAGGCGGCGGCGGCAGCGGCTCTGTTTGATGATCCTCTCTGTAGAAATGTGGGTTAGTTTCATCTGAACGACCTGAGATCTGTTGTTTGTGTTGCAGACACGCTGGTCTGAGTGCAGCTCAGCAGCAGCTCATCAGAGAGACTCTGATGAAGTGGCTCCAGTGTCAGGTACTGCACCGCATCATGTACTTCAGTTTACAAGTACTTAGCTGAGTATTTCTGTCTTGTGATATTTTATACTTCAACTCCAGAAAACACGTGGTCGGCTTATAATAAAGTCATGATGTCTATGAAGTTAAAATTAGCTCCACCTCAGCCAACTACATGTAAATGCACCAGAATGAACAATCCAATAAAATGTAATTCATTATTAATTTAATTTAGATTTAATAGATGTCATGGACTTTTATTTGTGTCAAGCATCTCAACACTGTTCAAAAGACAAAGAAAACCCAATGTGAAATAAAGGTAATAAGAACATAATAATGTGTAATATTGAGACAAGTAAAAGTATGTAAAGGGTACAAACGGGCTTAAAGTTGAAATAAAACTATCTGATTTGCTGTGTGGTTTTTAAACAATATGTGAGAGGACGAGTTAAAATATAAAATATATACAACTATGAGCCGATTGGTTAAACAAACTCACGGGACATTTTTCTGCATAATGAGTATTTTTACTTTTTAAACTTTTACGTACGTTTTGCTGATAGTAATTCAACTGAGGTAAAAGTTTGAATGCAGAATTTTTACTTGTAATGTGAGCTGAGAAAAACTGTATAATCTGATCAACACTGAAGCGCTAACGTCTCGCACGTTTATTTATTTAAATATTAAAAAGTAGCCGCTGTGTATTTTATCAAATAAATACAGTATACACATACACTTATACAATAAAAATACTTCTTCTAAAACTCTAAGCAAGATAACCGGATAATAATAAATCACACTTAGTAAGTCGGACAGAAGAGATAGAAAAATAAATAATTTACATTATCCCACATTAAATTTGTGATTTAAAAAAAATATACGTATTTCATAGAAAGTCACAAAAAGTATTAAAAAAACAGAATAAAAACTACATGTATGTTGCTGTGAGTGCTGACAGGTTTTTTGTCCCTGCTCCTTGCCTGCAGCTGATGAATGCCCACCCTGAGAAGCCATTCATCAGGAACAAGGCGGCTCAGGTGTTCGCCCTCACCTTCGTCATGGAGTATCTGACTCTGTGGCCCAAGTTCTTCTTCGACATCCTGTCGCTAGTGGGTTTGAACCCTCACGGCGTTGACATATACCTGAGGACGCTCATGGCCATCGACGCTGAGGTGGTGGACCGAGACATCCTCCACTCCCCTGAGGTAAGACTATGGGTAAGAAGCGCTCTTCCTCCTCACAGGCTTCCTGCTGATCCTGGAGTTTATTCGTGAAATTAAAGAGTGTGTTTGACGCAAGAAAATGAAAAAATGATTCACGATTGGACACTTTTGAATCCATACCTGTTGAATTGAGCTACTTTTTCTCCAAAAATATCCGGAACAAGGAGCTAAAAGGTCCTTCAGCCCACTGTTGTGTGTGTTTCCAACGCGGTCTAAAGACAAGTGAAGGTCAAGCAAACGAACCAGCTCACATAAGTTATTACTCAAGACATCATTATTTAGAAACGTCACTATCCACGAGCAAAATGTTTATATGAACATCAGATTTGGTTGGAATATAATGAAAATAATAGGCTGGACCACTAAAAATAACTTGTTTTGTGCGAGTATAATCAAGAAACACAAGAAGTCTATAACAAGTTTAATAACAAACTGGATAAAGTAGGGATGCACCGAAATTAAAATTCTTGTCCGAAACCGAAAATAATGAAAACACAGAACAAGTACATTCACATTGTTTCCATTTATTTAGGCTTTTTTTAACCACAAATTAAATAGTCAGAATGAGCTTTTTCGTCAGTGTTTCCCACAGGATGTGGAGAGACTATGGTGGGTAAAGTAGATTACATGTGTCTATTTACTGTTAATGGACACATTCAGTCAAATCGCTCTGGGACCTTTCAGTGGATTTACCATAAAGGCTTGAATACGTGCGCACTCCAAATTTAGGTGCGGTTAGCCACAGATGGAGTGGATGTGCTGGGAGACAGAACGGGGCTCCTCCAGCGCCGACGGACATTAAAACACTTCCAGACGACATTAGCAGCATCTCAGCTCGCCGCTCTCATGTCCTAAGTGTTTTTATTTACATGTTGTAATCAGCTGTTTGTTTAGGAGAAACCTCCTGACTGAAGAACGCAGCTTTGCATGCTGAAGTTCCCCGTTTCAGTCATGTTCAGCTGTCCTGCTGAAACCAGAAAAAGAGACGTTAAATGATAAAATCTTAACTGAACAATCAAAGAAAGTAAAAAGCTGCACTGGTGAGATGATAAGTGATGAGAGAGGAAGACAGGAAAAGGAAGTAAAACCCACAAAGTGATGACAGAGATGAATGTGCAGTGATGAAAATGGTTTTGCAGGAAGGAAAGTAAAGAATGATCGATGAAAACTTGTGTGGCCGTTTCTGTCCAAATCTGAGTGTTGTTGTTCATAAAAGTGGCGATCGATGATTTTTGTCCGTTGATTAATTGGCAGAAGTTAAAGACACTAATCTGAGAATCAGTATTTGATTACTTGTCAGTTTTCTGAGCTGAGGGTTAATGGTGTCGACTCTGTCCTTCAGGAGACCCGTAGAAACACCTTAATCAAAGACGGCATGCGGGAGCAGTGCATCCCCCACCTGGTGGAGTCCTGGTTCCAGATCCTGCAGACGTACCAGCACTCCCACCCGGAGCTCACCTGTCAGTGTCTGGAGGTGGTGGGAGCCTTCGTGTCCTGGATCGACCTCAACCTCATCGCCAACGACCGGTCAGTCACCTCACGCACAAGTTTCATTAAAGATTATCTTAAAAGATTTATGTTCATAGATGCACAAAAGCATTATTGACCAATTTAGAAACTCTAGTTTGTCTGTACTAACAAGTAGCGGCAAACTCTGGCTCTCACCACTGAAGCCAGTGCTGAAGTAACGTAAACCTGCATTCTCTCTAACAGCCAGCAGGGGGCGACTCCTGCTTCCTGGTCTCTGTTCCTCTAAATGGGACCATAATTTACTAAATGAACATCATGCTGTGCTGAAGAAGACTTGAAACTAGCGACTGAGACCAGAAACTCATCAGGAAAGTGTTTACTGAGGGAATAAATCAGCTGACAAGTAGAAACATTTTCTCAGAGACTTCTTTCTGCAGCCGCTGGAGTCGCCCCCTGCTGGCCGCTGGAGAGAACGCAGGTTTAATGCTCTTCCAACATGGCTTCATTTCTCAGAGCCAGACATTCCTGCTTGGGTGAAGCGGTGCACAAAAAATGCACAATATAAATAAATAACAGCTGACTGCAGGAAGTTACCGCAGCACTTTGATATTCTGACTTTTCTGTGGTTCTCTTGTGTTTCCAGCTTTGTGAACCTGCTGCTGAGCCAGATGTCGGTGGAGGAGCTCAGAGAGGAGGCCTGTGACTGCCTGTTTGAAATCGTCAACAAAGGAATGGACCCCGTGGATAAAACCAAGCTGGTGGAGTCGCTGTGCCAAGTTCTGCAGTCTGCTGGGTTCTTCAACGTGGAACAGGTTCGAGTCAAAGAACTTAAGGAATTCCTTAAGTTTGTTAAACTGTTGCACAAAAGATGAATAAATGATAATAATAATAATCTATTTTTTGGCCAGTTTTCACATTTATTTTGTTTCTCAGAATCTGATTTATTGCCAAGTTGTTTTTGCACAGACAAGGAACTTGCATGCAATTTTACATGTGTAATAAAAGAATCAGATCTGATAGGTTGTGCAAACATTAATGAGGGGGGGGGGGATCTCCTGGATGGACCTCTTCACTTCTTAAAATAATTTTCAAAGTAATTTCCTCCCACGTTTGTGGTTTCCTGGTTGCTGTTATTTGTACAGCAGTACAGTCTTTTCCTCCTCTGACTGACTGAATTAGTTTTTCTTTCTTCGTTTCTTTCCAACTTTGCGGGGTGAAAACAGTTTAAGTAGTTTCTCCGTCCTTACAGTAACATTTTAAAGCTGTAAAATCTCTTTCAATGTAGAAAACACCTTAACTAAGGAAACCTTTTAAGGAATTTTTTGAGATTGAGACTTTATGTCTTACTTCAGGAAAAACTTAGAAAGCTAAATTGTGTCACGCCACAAGAAAAGATCTGATTGTTGAAAAGCAGAATCTCAGATGAGGACGTGTCACCTGTTTATACCCAGAGGCCACGAGGTCGCATGCTTTTCCTGCTTCTCCTCACTTCCTGGATGGCTTTTTGTTTTTACTTCCCTCTTCCTGTCCCGCCAGGAGGAGGACGTGGACTTCCTGGCCAAGTTCTCGCGGCTGGTGAACGGGATGGGTCAGAGTCTGGTGCTGAGCTGGACCAAACTGGCCAAGACCGGCAATGTGAAGGACACGGCCGAGGCGCTGCAGGCCGTGGAGTCCAAGGTGCCGCTGCTGCTGCAGCTTCTGGTGCACGAGGACGACGACATCTCGGCCAACGTCGTCGGCTTCTGCTACGAATACCTGCACGTGCTCAAACAGGTGAGCTCCGCCTGGACCAATCAGAGTCCAGGAGGTTAGGAGGCATTTAAAGACTCCTCCTGGGCAAGGAAGTCCTGGAATATTATGGGATTTTAGAGACCTGGGGTGTCGATACATTGATTAAAAGAATAAAATAAATTCTGTTCTGATAATCGATGAATGATTAAAGATTTCTTCATTGTAGTTTCTCTTTCTTGTGATTGTAAATAAAACATCTTGGGTTGGCAAAACAAACTACAGGGTCCGTTGAGTAGCTGTTCTGGAGACACACAGCCTTCCTCAGCAGATGTGAGTTCGTATGGATGGAAATGTAGATGTTAATACGTTGTGGCTGTTATTTCTGTGTTGGTTGACAGTTGAGATTACAAAGTGTTCACCAGGTTTGTTTAGTAACTGGAGCTTTTGATTGTATCACATATAAATATCTTTAGGTCTGGGGGAGTTGTTTCATATACTTCATGATAACGTCTCAGCGATAAGTCGAATTGATGTATTTTCTTTTGCTTCTGCAGCTTCCCCAACTGACAGACCAGCAGAAGACGAACATAGAGGTGAGTCTCTGACCGTAAACGATGAAATCAAAGATCAAATACACAAGGATTGAAAAACGCTGACGCTCTGCCTGCCTTTCCACCACAGGCCATCATGCTCGCTGTCATGAAGAAGCTGACGTACGACGACGAGTACAACTTTGAAAACGAGGTGAGTTAGTTTTTTTTTTTTATTTGCCGCTGACTGTCGTCGTCGTCGTCTGTGACGCTCTTAAGGAACGTGAAACCGCAGCAGACGCTCTGGTTGTGTTTGTCAGGGCGAGGACGAGGCCATGTTTGTGGAGTACAGGAAGCAGCTGAAGATGCTGCTGGATCGTCTGGCGCAGGTGTCTCCTGAGCTGCTGCTGGAGGCCGTGCGACGGGTCTTCACCAACACCATGCAGTAAGAGCTCGCTCTCGCTCACTCACTCATTTCTTTAGAGAAATAATAAAACATCGGCGCCGTCTTTGTGTTTCAGGAGCTGGCAGACGGCGCCGTTCATGGAGGTGGAGGTGGCCATCAGGCTGCTGTACATGATGGGCGAGGCCCTGCCAGCATCTCACGGCGCTCATTTCACCGGAGACACGGCGAAGACGAGCGCCCTGCAGGACATGATGAGGACGGTGGGTCACATGACTCTAAATGATGAATGTTCCGTTCAGCTGTTTCCTGTGTTTTCGCCACTCTGAAACTGTTTTCTCTCTGAATCCTCAGCTGGTGTCCTGCGGCGTCAGCAGCTACCAGCACAGCTCCGTGTCTCTGGAGTTCTTCGAGACGGTCGTTCGATACGATAAATTCTTCATCGTGGAGCCTCAGCACATCCCAAACGTTCTGGTGAGTGACTTTGTTTTTAGCAGGTTATGAAAAGAAAAGTGCGGATGAGGTTTGTTTTGTGCTCCGTGTGACCCGTGTTGTGTTCGGTGCCAGATGGCGTTTCTGGACCAGAGAGGACTGAGACACAACAGCCCAAAGGTCCGCAGCAGGGTGGCCTACCTCTTCTCCAGATTCGTCAAAACATTACAGTGAGTCCAGCTGCAGTCATTTACCACCAGGTGGACAAAATAACAGAAACACCTCAACACTGATCACAGCAAAAACCAAGCAAGAAGAGCTTCACCAAGTTTTATTAAAGGTGGGGTACGTTACTGTAATAGCCGCCACTGCCAGAAATGATGCACTCGTCAGGAGAGAACGGCGTTAAGAAACGTTTGATGTTCTGTAGAACCTCTGATAAATGTGCAGAAACACGGGAGTTCAAAAGTTGAGAGACTTGATTTATTATTTATTTTAGCCAGTGGCGTAAAGAAACTTTATATGTTTGTTAAAAACATTATTATTAATATTATCATCCATCTTGGGTTAATGAAACTAGTTGCGGGGGGGCCAAGGTGTAGTGAGTAAACACTAAGAAAAAGAAATTAATAAAGAATTAAAATGATGAAATAATGAAATGTGTATCGTATTTGTATTGACAGCAGGTTACTTTAGGTAATTTCCCACCTTAGTTTAGTGTTTATTTACTGCTTGAATCTGCTCTTCTCCCCACACTCGCACACCTAGCCTGCACCTCTGGTCTCACATGCACCGCATGTGGATTGAAAACCGAAAGTAACGTTATTGAGTGACATCTGCAGTGATGCGTTCACTGTCGCTCCGTAATATATAATTTCCTGTTTGTCTGTTAACTTAATATCAGATGGCATCTCTCTCTGTGTTTCTATGCTAAAGTGGGTTGCCAGGTACGGTCACAGGTGCAAATATACCTGGCCAACCCGCCCAAGTAAAGTATTTGTCGATAACACTGTATTTAAAGCTTGTGCAAGCTTTAGGCCTGTATTTTGTAAATATTACACCTTCGACCAAATTTATTGTCTTCCAACTGTGTGGGGGGGGGGAAATGTGGGGAAAAACCGAGCCGTGTATTTGGTGTATGGACACAGCCCTATAACACAGAGATTATAATATATATATTATATATATAATAATGTTTCTGGCTGTTTCTAGTTATAGTCGCAGGTAAAAGTCTGTGAACCCTTTGGAATGAGATCTGATCTTCCTCTAAGTCACAACATACTTTTTCCATCCTGCGTTGTGATTCTTACTCAGAGTGTTCAATAAAGACATCAAAACATATTATTGTTTGTGTGGTTTTAGTTTAATTTCTGACTGTGTGTTGACTTCGCTGAACCTCTGTGTCAACAGTAAACACATGAATGCCTTTGTGGAGGACATCCTGACCCGGATCCAGGACCTGCTTGAACTGGCTCCTCCTGTAAGTATCAGCACGTCATCCCTCTCAGAGTTAACAGCGTGTCTCCGTCAGCCCTCAACACTGATGCGGTTTCCTTCTGTCCAGGAGAACGGCTTCCCGGCGCTGCTGACCAGCGACGACCAGCTGTTCATGTTCGAGACGGCGGGCATTCTGATCGTGAACGGAGACAGCCCCGTAGAGAGGAAGCAGGCGCTGATGAGGAGCCTGCTGCTGCCGCTGCTGGACGCCTTCCGCCTGCTGCTCGCCAAACTGCCGCAGGAGACGGAGGAGGAGCGGAAGGCCGTCCTCGCAGACTGCCTGAGCCACGCTGTCGGGTTCGCCAGGTGAGGATCCAACCTGCCGTCACGTTTTAATGAGTCGCTCAGAGACGGGTTTTTTTTATTTTTTTAGATTGTGGCTTTTTATTTTCTTTGTTTCAACATTTCAAGCTCGCCAGCGGGAGTCTTTACATGAATCAGGCAAAACAAAAGAAATTAGCTGAACGTCACGTCTTCTTTCTCTGTTTGCAGTCGGACCAGCAAGGCGTTCAGCAACAAGCAGACGGTGAAGCAGTGCGGCTGTACGGAGGTCTACCGAGACTGCCTGCAGACCTTCCTGCCTGCGCTGAGCTGCCCTGTCCAGCGGGGGGTGCTGCGCAGCTCGGTCCGCTCCTTCCTGCACCGAATGATCATCTGCTTGGAGGAGGAGGTGCTGCCCTTCATCCCCGCCGCCTCTGAACACATGCTGAAGGACTGCGAGGCCAAAGATCTGCAGGAGTTCATCCCGCTCATCAGCCAGATCACCGCCAAGTTCAAGGTACGCGGGGAAAAACTGCAGACTGGTTAGGTGTTTGGGACATGTCCGCTAAAATCACACGTTTAGAAACTGGCAGCTCTTCTTCGGGGTGATTAACGAGCTTTTTTCTGCCACGGCAGCGGCAGGTGTCTCCCTTCCTGCAGCAGGTCTTCATGCCGCTGGTGCTCGCCATCTTCGAGGTGCTGGCCAGGCCGGCGGAGGAGAACGACCAGGCGGCCGCTCTGGAGAAACAGATGCTGAGGAGGAGCTACTTCACCTTCATCCAGACCATCACAGGCAGCGGGATGAACGAGGTCATGGCCAACCAGGGTGAGTCGCTAACGGATAGCAGAACTTCTCGTTTCTGTTTAGAAAATATTTTTAATGTTAAGACGAAATTCAAGGCAGTAACCTGATGATGCTGTTGACAAACACATCAGCACGTGAATAAAGAGAATAACTCAGGAGTGACTCCTGTAAACCAGATAAAACAGTCAGTCTGGGAGCTTTTGAGATTTAGTTTAGGGCTGCAGCTAATGATTATTTTAGTAAGACATATTGTCAGCAACATTTCAACAAAAGCAGGGCGTGGTTTCAACAAACAATTAGAAATAAACAAAGATACTCGGCCCCTTGGGAAGAGTTATGCTTAATAAGTTCAGCTCTTTGCACAATCAAGGAGGGAGAAAACAAAACGTCCAGCAGGAGCTCACTCGGCAGCAAACGTTAATCAAAGTAATGCAGTTCAAACCAAAATCGTTCCACTCAGCCGCCTCTAAATTCTTACAGTAGTACCTGCGGTCAGTCAGTCGATGAACTCGCCTGTGAGTCAGGCACGTTACGTTTTCCTCCGTGGTGATCTCCACATCTTAGCCCCGCTTGCACCAACGCCTAACTTGACTTTACGCCTGTTTAAACTATGAATTACGCTGATCGCCGGACTTGCGACCAGACACGCCGATAAATTCTTTCGCATTCTTGTAGCTAAGACCACAGACGGAGATTGATTTGACTGATACCTGAAATGATGAAGAGTTGTAGGCAAACCTTCCTGCTGGAGCACAGCTGAAGTTATTTGTTCTTGTTTTCAGGAGCGGAGAACATCGAGCGAGTTGTGTTCACCATCATCCAGGGAGCCGTGGACTTCCCCGACCCCGTCGCTCAGAAAACCTGCTTCATCATCCTCTCCAAGCTGGTGGAGCTGTGGGGTGAGAAGAGAAGTCTTTATTACTTATTACATCGTTTTTCCTTCAGCGTTTCTCTCTCTTTAAGTTCTGTCTTCTGATCAAACCTGCAGGAGGGAAAGACGGCATGGTGGGTTTCCCCGACTTCATCTACAAACACATCGTTCCTGCGTGTTTCCTGGCTCCTCTCAAACCGACCTTTGACCTCTCGGACGCTCAGACGGTCCTGGTAGGTCTCTCCACCAGACTCCATTCTGCAAACAGGAGATTTTGACTCATTCATTAACAGAAGTTAAGCAGCGCTCCTCTTTGTTTTTCAGACGCTGTCAGAGTGCGCCGTCACGCTGAAAATGATTCATCTCAAAAGGGTAAAAAGAAATTTTACACAATGAAGCTTTTAAATAATCCTCAAATTCAATAAATGAAAGAATTTCTGTCCCTTGGTTCGTTGTAAGTAACGTTTTCTTTCAGGGGCCGGAGTTTATCCAGTTCTTGCAGCAGGAGTATTTGCCCTCACTTCAGGTGTCACCGGAAATCTCACAGGTAAGACGCCAGTAAACACCAGATCAGTGCTAATGTAGCTGGCTTCCCAAGCCGGCGTCACTACAGGCTGGTAGAGCAAACTGTTCTAAATGTCCACGGCCTTTTTAGTCATCGTTGCGTCCTCAAAATGCCTGATTTTGCAGCAGCTTTTCTAAAATATTGCGATGAACGTTTTTTGATGTTCTTGGGTGTTTTTTTTTTTTTTGTGATGAAATTGGGGGAATAAGTGAAAACTGCCACGGTAGATGTGATGTTTTTAGAATCGTAGTTGAATCATTAAACAGTCCCTCCAGGACTTGGCGAGCCTGACCCTGCATATTTAACCTCTTAACATTCCAACCAATTCAGGTCCTGGCGGCAGCTTTCGGTCTGTGCACACAGCTGCTATGTTAACTTCGTACTCATATGATCCACTGTTTGAAAGCTAAAATCCTCGTGATTCCACCAATCAGGTCACCACAGCGGGTCCAATCAGCGCCTCTCTCAGACCAACCAGTACAATCAAACTTTACGCGACTCACCTATGAAGCCTCACAGTAACTTCATCCACCGATCATTATGATTATTCCATCAGTAAATCCTCAGGGACTGCTGTTTCATATCCGCCGGCAGACGCGGCTCGTGTGTCATTATAACCGGAATAACTCTGATTTGAATGTAAACGACTACGATAGCTTGTATTCAAATTAGCCGCTTAACTCTGACCTTTCGACTGACAGCTAATCAGACCCAATAGGAGCTCACGTGTCCCTTTCACAGCCTACAGCAGCCAATGAGAGCCCGCGCTGTAAGGAAGGGCCGGCCCCTGTTATTTCCTGGGTGGGCCGAGCCAATTGCAAGCAACCAGTCGATGACTGGCGCTTCCTGTAGCCAATAATATTCTGAAAATAACGATATCCAGCTTTAAGTAGGAAGTTCATGATCTACCAGCAAAAAACCACGTCTGCGTGGAGCTGCCAGCTGATCCGGAGCGACGCAGCAGCCGCCTGCCGCCGAGGGGCGGGGCTTATTTAGAAAAAATACACTAAGACAGACACTCAGAAAAACCTGTGGAAAACAGTCATTTTTCATGGTATTGGTATGAAATTTAAACTTGGACTGGGTAAGGCTTAATGCCGTGGGCCCCACAGTGAATTCTAGCTAATAAGTCCCAGCTGTAGTCTGCATGCATTTGTTGGCAAGCATTTTCAAGTGGAAATGAAAAATATATTAGTTTTAGTGTGTTTTAAACTTATATTAATCTATTCCAGTAGCTCTTGCACTCATTCTGACTTTTGGGTCAGACTCTCCAGAGTGTTTCTTTCAGAGAAACCCAAAACCAGGCAGAGACTCCAGATGGTTCAAGAACCACATTCAGTTTACTTTGGATCTGCCTTGAAGAGGCGTTTTACAGGAATGAGGTTAAACCAGCTGACCTTGATTCTTTCCTGCAGCTGACCAGGATGCAGCAGCCTGCGTCTCGCCCGACGTCCTCCACGTGTTTCTAACATTTTCTCTGTATGTTTTGCGGCGGTAAAGTGTTGGACCACAACACTGCACGCTCTGCGGAACAGTCTCCCCGCTTTGGTGAAGAAGATCTGGATCCAGGTGTTCTCGGTCCTTCGCTGTTATTGTCGTAGGTAAATGTGAGACGTTGGTATCGCACACGTCTGCTGCGTCTTCTAAACAGGGAAGTGAGTTTGCTGACGTTGGACAACGTGCAGAATTCACAGGGATTTGTTGAATTTGTGTTCATAGTTGCGATCGTGACATCGCTGTAAAAAGCGTTGACCTGACTTGTTCTACGAGTGGGAGGCTACCTCAGTGTTTTCGGACTGTTGGTCAGGTACCTGAAGGCGTCTCTCTGGGGTCTGGGTGTGTTGGTGACAGTTTCTTATGTTCTGCGTTACAGGAGCTTTGCCAAGTGGTTCAGCAGCCAGACGTCAAAGTCCTGAAAAACTACATTAAGGTACGAGTGTATTTATTACAACGGGTTTCAAAAGTGGCTGTGGGGGCTGTATTGGCTCAATTAAGGAGTGCCGCGACCATCCAGGAATTGAGCAAACTAAACAAGTCCACTAACGGGGGGTGATGGCGGGGGGGGGAGTCCCCTGCATTAGAATCAATAAGGCGGTTTGGTTCTCAGCTTGTGTATCTGCTGTATTGACCACCTGGTAATACTCTTCCTTCCTTCCTTCACGTCTGTGCAGGCGTTCTTTCAGCGAGCCAAGCTGTAGGAAATGAAAACTGGAAGTTCACGGGGACTGAAAGGACACTTCACAGGAAGTGGTCGTGCACGCCACTTCACAACAAAACAAATGGAACTTAGCATAGGAGCTGCTTTTTGCACTTAAAAAGTGAATGCGTTACAAAGCCCAGTCTCTCCAAGTCGGGACAGAAGGTCGGTGGACGGACACAACAGCCGCCGCCGAGACGAGCTGTCCACGAGGACTCGACGTGGGACGTAAAGGAGCTCGACTGATGATCAGAAATGGAGTTAAGTGAAGAACTTTTGTGGAAAGTCGTGTGATGGGAAATGGCTTTTTGAAGTAAACACAGATCTGTGGGAGAGGACACGACCTGCCTGAGGAAACATTTGGTAATTATCCCTTAAACGATCTGAACATGTCTGTTAGGATTTGTGAAACGATAGCTTTATTCTAGTCAAACCTTCACATTAGAAACCACATTTCAAAACAAGCTAGATTTGAGTTTGTTTGTTTTTTTTGGGGGGGGGGTTGTTGCTGCCACAGAATTGACAAAAAGGGCTGAATTGTATTATTTTTATTCAAAATGTGGCACTGATTTATTTTTTTCCTTATGTGTGGAGGAATAGATGGTTGATTTTAAGTTTGAAGTGAAACGTTAAGTGCTTACAGCCCGGCTCGGCTTTATATTTTCCTGAATTCTCAATTTAAAAGCAGATATTATCTCAACCACTCTTTTATATTTGTTACCTGATGGGATGTAGATAATCCAGTTTTGGCCCTCTTATGATAAAATTAAAAGATAATAATCCATGGAATATTTTTGTTTCCTAAAAACATGACCAATATGTTGGGCTGTTTTTAATTTCAGATGGAAATGAACAGAAAATAGAGGAACAAAATGTAAATAAGAGAATAAGATGTTAAAAAATGTAAATAAGTTCCTAGGTTAAGTTTAAAAAGAATCTTCATTCCCATCTGGAAACTAAATATGGAAGCCCATCTCTGCCAGAAAATTGAAACAAAAGATTAAAAGTTAGATACGATTTAAAAATACTCCATAAAAAGTCAGAATTATGAGTTTCTAGGTTCAAAATTATGACTTGGTAGCTCACTAATTTGGACCTTTTTTAAATCTCATAATTGTGACTTCTAAAGTCAAAATTCTCTGTTAAAATCTCATTATTTTGACATTCCAGTATTTTTTATTTGATTTATAATATTTTTGACTGACACTCATAATTATGACTTAAAGTTTAACTTAAAATTCCAAGTCTCAAAATTGCAATTTAGCATTAAATCTTTTTTGATTTGATCTTGAAATCTAATTTTGAATAAAATCCTAATTTTAATGACTTGCTATGAGTATATTTATTTATCTTTTTTTCCTTCGTATTTTTCACTTAGCAAATCTCATAAGTTTGACTCTGTATCTCTTAAAATTAATTGATCTCAGAATGTTTTAGTAAACGGTCAAAATTTTCAGTTACTATCTCATAATTTGACCTTTGAAAAATAATTGTGACACAAAATTCAATATTTTACTGTCTCATACTGTTGACTTTCATTTATATTTTTAGGATCTCAAAATGTTGACTTGTCAGAATTGAGACGTAAGTCAAATATTATGATTTTTTTTAATGTACTAAATCTCTCATAAATTTGACTTAATTAGATTAATTTTAATTTCAGTGCGGAGAAGCACAACGGACTACCTAACATTTAATCTATTTGTTTTTTCCTTTCTTGGCAGTAATGAGCTTCCAGAGTAATACATAAACTCGTTTATAGGAATAATTCATGTACAGCTCATGTAAAAAAACAACAATGTGCTTGTGTACAGAAGCAGCTCAATGAATTTTACATTGACGCATTTGTGACAATTCAGGATGATCGACTTAATTGATTATGCAACGCTTTACTGTGAGCAATACTGTGAAGGAGCTGTCAAACAGTATCAAACCCAATCAGTGTAAGATGATGAGAAGTGTAAACATTGTGTCTGACTATTTTTGCTGATGTAAAAACACAAATTCACATTTAAACCAAGACTCTGTACAGATATTTCAGATGTTCTTTAACACTTTGGATCTTGTGTCGACCCACATTGTTCTGTTTGACTGTACATCTATCTCAGTTACTGTTTCCACTGTTGAAATCAATTTGTGATGTTCAGTGCATTCCTTTTAATTTGGTTTATCTGATTAACAGTTTTTCTTTGGGCTTTAAAGTTCTTATTTCCCAGAAACCTCCCAGAAAAAAGTGCCTGAAACTTGAGTGTTGGCGCTCAATTAAATGTGGTCATGCAGGCATTTAAATAAAGCTAGTTTAAAGTCTTAAAGGTGGTGGTCTATGTTTTTCTCATTGTCAACAAATCCCACAAATGTCAGTCAATCTCTAAGTAGTCCTTATGGCCTATTGGTTCCAAATATTTAATAAACTCACAAAAATATAGTTCATTTCATTTAAAAAGCCTCAAACAGGAGGAAATTGTGCTTTTTGGGGACTATTTTTACAAGTGGATGAGTACACATTTGGATTAGCACAGTATTTGTAAGCAGGATCAGTTCATTGTTGGTTTGTCTCTGTACATGGGATTTCTTGACAAGAAGGAATTAATGGAATATCACCAAAACGTATCCTTCCAACATATTTAATAATAATAGACCTCTTAAATGCAACACGTCAGGATGAAATTGGTTTGTGTGCGTCCTCTTTAATGGATTTCTATGTGCAAGATTATGGAGCATCAATTTTAAAAGGGAACCAAATTCGGACATTGACATGATATTTTTTTTTCCATGCATAATAATTAAGTTAACTTTAATATTGAGCTTGTAAACAGTAGTTTGACTAAATAACTTAAAGATCCACTTACTAGCTAAAACTCAATGTAACAAAATTGCTTCAAAACCTTATAATTTGAATATTTATGAAATGTGGTTGTTAGCGGTCTCCCGGGGTCAGAAGACTAGATCGATGTTAATTACATCTCTACATAGATCGGTTTAGCTTAGCACAAACACTGGAAGCAGTGGGAAAGTGCTAGCCAAGTTCCATCAAAGGATTAAAATTCACCTTCAAACAATTCCAAAGCTGTCGTGATTTAAATGTTATAATTTGGTTAGCGAAGAAGCTAAGTTTGCTTAGCGTTGCTGGTCAACAGATACTAAAGAGCTCCAATGCTAACTGCTAATGTTACCACAATGTCTTTTTACATTTCTGTTTCTTATCCTTTTCAACTAAATATGTACATATGTTGATGGAGCTAGGCTAGCAGTTTAACAAGCTTTCCGGTCTTTGTAGATGTCATATACCAGGGTTTGTTTAGCCTAGCTTAGCACAAACATCTAGCATAACATTAGGTTAATAGTTGAACGATTCAGGAAATGTGCGTAACAACATCTGGCTATAAACACCTAACACCATGTGTCTACCAATATTTTCTGCTAAGCTTGGCTAAAAAACTGCACTGTAATCTACAACAACTAGCTAACTAACAGCTTGCTTAATGTTGACTCACTGTTTGTAGCAACAAAACAACCAGATACTGTCTATCTGTTAGCTGTTTTGTGGATTCAGGGTTAGTAGTTTGTCCCTGCTGGACTTTTCTCTGTACTGTAGACCAGACATTTCTATTTAACCCCACAGCTATCGGCTCCTAAATCACACCGTCTTGTCTTTACATTTCTATTTATGTGAATCGGACAGCTTTAGAGGGTGGATTTGTTTTTGATGGAGCTAGGCTAACAGTTTCCCACTTCTTCCAGTCTTTGTGCTACAACAGCTAGCTACACACAAAAAGCTTAATGTTGGAGATTGCTGTACAGTAACTATCCATAAGTCATGATATTTCACTGTCTAGTGGTTTCACCCTGCTTTGTGCTAAGCTAGGCTAAACACGTCCACGATCCATCTCTGTATGAGATGAAACTGATTTCCATCTTGTCTCTGAACATAAAGGCAACGTGAAGAATTCTTCTCATGTTCTGAGTCAGGATGTGCTTAGCTTAGCTTAGCTTAGCATAATGACTGGAAGCAGGGAGAAACAGCTAGCCTAGCTCTGTCTAAAGTTCAAAATACACATATGAACACCTGTAAAGCTCACTGATTAACATGCAAAAAATGTAAAAACCACGATTTGTGGTTTTAGGTGGACTTCAGGCCCTCAATAAGTATATTTCCCCTCAAATATTTAAGTATAATTTTTAGGTTTTGCCTGCTAACACTAAAATCTGCACTTAATTCACCTGTAAATGTAATTTACACGAACCAAGTGAAATCACCTTGACTGGTAAATCAAGTTCCTCATCATACTGTTGTAATATTCACGCAGACACTAGAAGCCATTTTTCTTCAGTAAACCCACTAAAGTACAATGAGCTGTTTTAAAAGGAACTGACATAAAAATGAAGACAGAATATTTTTAAAACGCATGACCACTTGAAAATCAGTTTCATATGTTTATTGATGATTATTAAGGTTGTTGCAGCCTGCTTTTACTTTCTTCAGCAGAGAGGTTTGCTCATATAAAAACAAACTTGCCAAATGAATCAATTTGTTCTGACGGTGAAATGTGTTGATTTATTTTTTTGATATGGCGATAAACTTTCTGTTAGAACCAATAAAGTGTTTACTTATCATGAGAACTTCCTGCTGTGTTTATTGCTTCACAGCCAAACAGAAGTGTGTTTATGGCCATGTGGAATAAAGGCACATCAACAACAGCGAAGTGATGTCACATGGTTACCATCAAATCTCTGGAACGGTCCTCTGCTGAAAACCAGCTGTACAGTTTACAGATTTTAACAACCTATTTGGTTGCTTAGGTATGCGGACGTGTTGCTCAGAGGGAAACATTGTACTTCACTACAGTTTCCTGAAAGCTTTAGTTACTTTGCAGATTCAGATTTTACATCAGATATAATCCTTGTTTAAAGCTTTTCGTCTTCTGACCACAAAAACAGCGTCTAGCCGTGTCTCCTCGTCATGTTTCAGATGTCTCGAGTTGTTTTCAGTTCCTCCAAAGATAAAAGTCCAAAAACTGGAAAAAAAAAACTGATTCTTCTTCTTTCCTCTCATTAATCATCTCATGACCCCTCAGATTTATCTGGTGACCCTAAATCACATTAAATTCAGTTTTAAGTGATCACCTTTATTTGGATCACAGAACACAAACAATTTTCTTTCAGGTTTGAAATCTTATTTTCAATCAAATTTTTTCTCTCTGCTCAGATGCATTTTCTTTAACATAAATTCATTCCAAAACAAAATCAAAATAATAGGAAGAATATCTATCTGCTTTTCACGATTCCAGTACACGAGCTGGTTGTGTTTTTAACATAATGAGTTCTTTTGTTTGGTGCAAATTGTCTTTAGAAGTCGAGTCGTGCTGCTTCAGCCTTTAATCACAGCGATGGGTCTCAGTTTGATTGCCTTCTTACTGATTCCAGCGTCGTGACACGTGTTGACGACGTCTGTCACGTTTTTGTACGATTCAGGAGCCTGAAAACAAAACAAAAATAACTGAGATGACGCCAGTAATAATTCTTGATTGGCTATATACAGAAGATCTTTAGTGCAAAAAAGATTTAGATTGAAAATAAACAGAAACTCAGAATCTTTAAAACTCGCCTCCTCCATGACCAGTTTGGGTGAAGCCACCCGGATGGCGATGCCCTTGTCGGCCAGTTTGTCCAGGACGTCCTGGAAGTCCAGGTTCCTGCGGGACTTGGCTCGAGACAGAGCGCGACCCTGAAACAACAAACAGAAAATAAATGAATGTGCTGAAAAAAACAACCGGAGTTCAGATCAGCTGGCGAGTTCTTTGGTCAAATGTTTGCTAAAATAATTTATTTTCTTTGTGCAGCACTTTGTAAACCTGGTTTATAAAATAGATAAATTAAAGCATCAATGCTACGCTGATCAATTTATTAAATACAAAGTTGGGGATAATTTACTTTGTCAAGTAACAAAAAAACAACTGTATCAAACTCTCGTACGAAATGAGAGTACGAGAGTAGTAAATGTGATTCTAACTGTAACACGAAGCGAGCGTTCGGTGCAGCGCGTTGACATACAATGTCAATATAAACATGCGATTTCCTGTCAGGTGGACACGCCGTCCTCGACACGAAGGGATTCGAGCAAGTTGAAACTTTTTTTTAGAAAACAACCTCAATAAATGAAGCCACTGTTTAAGTTTTTTGATTTTCAGTTTCAGACACTAAAACATCAGCTACATTATGTAACTCTGGTTTATTCTGGACCCCAGAGACGTAACATCTGGGCATTAAAACAGCTGTTTTGTGAAGGTGTTGAACATCATGCAGGCTGATAAAGACTCGTACCGCTCCGTGACAGGTGGTGCCGAATGTTTCCGTCATGCCTTGTTCTGTCCCCGTCAGGACGTAGCTGCAGGTTCCCATCGTCCCTCCGATCAGCACCGGCTGACCCGTCAGCTGGAAAACAACAACAAACCACGAGTCAGCACTTAAATCCTCGTGAAATAATGAAACCGCCTGAGGAGGTCGTACCTGGTAGTCTACGGGGATGAGGGGGTGGTGAGGGGGGAAAGCTCGAGTGGATCCTTTGCGGTGGACCAGCAGAGTCCTCTGCTTCCCGTCCACCATGTGCTCCTCAACTTTGGCGATGTTGTGAGAAACGTCGTAGATGACGTGCATGTCCAGGTCGTCCGGCGTGGTGCCGAACACCTTAGAGAAGGCCTGAAGGAAAACGTTAAAGAGGTCAGTTAGATTTGAGACAAACTGCTGCTGCTGCCTAGGACGTTTTCCTGGGTCTGTGTAACAGTATTATTATAGTAGGTTAATAGTTTTATTCGTAGTATAATAGTCTTAGTAGTATATTAGTAATAAAATAGTATTATACTAGTATAATATAGTATAAATAGTAAAAAGTATTAGTAGTATAATAGTATTATAAACAGCATGATAGTATACTTAAACAGTATTATTATAGTAGTATAGTATTATAGTATAAATTATTATAGAATCATAGTATAATATTATCATAGTATTATTATTATTAGTATTATAGCAGTATAGTATTATAATTAGTAGTAGTAGTAGTAGTATAGTACTATTAGTAGTATAGTATTAGTATAGTATTATAATTTGTAGTAGTAGTATAGTACTATAGTAGTATAGTATTATAATTAGTAGTAGTAGTAGTATAGTACTATAGTAGTATTATTAGTAGTATAGTATTATAATTTGTAGTAGTAGTATAGTACTATAGTAGTATAGTATTATAATTAGTAGTAGTAGTATAGTACTATAGTAGTATTATTAGTAGTATAGTATTATAATTAGTAGTAGTAGTATAGTACTATTATTAGTAGTGTAGTATTATTATAGTATTCTATAGTAAAATCGCGCCACATCTTACAGGAATACAGAGTTCGCCTGCATGTAGAAACTGTGACCTTGTTCATCTTCATCGTCCTGCAGCTCACAGACTCTGCAGGTCACTGATTATTAAGAATTAAAGATTTGTTTCTTTTCTCCTCTAATTGGAGCAAATTACTTCGTGTTCCTTCATCATTTCTCTCTGGTGTTTAACGTCTCAGCATCACCCCTGAGGACGGAGCCTGAGGACGGAGCCGCAGCTGCGCCTACCTGTCTGGTGAGGAAGGTCATGGACGAGCGGTTGACCCAGGCGTAGTTCCCCGCGGCCGCCATCCCCTTCAGGTAGTCCTGTCCTTCCTGTGACATGATGCGAGCGCACGCCAGCTGCCGGTCGTTCACCGTGATCTTGTCTCTTTTCATCGCCTTCTCCATGGCAACCAGAGCGTCTGTCAACAACATTTGCGCCACTTTAACAGCGTGTGGATTCATTCATTCATGTCTGCAGACTTTTCTTTTGGAAGACACTTAAACCAGGACTGTTCTGATCTTTCTGCTTTAGTTCTGTCTTTTTTTACATTAACATTAAACTGAATTATCACTAAAGATTTGTAAATTCTTCCAGGCGCCTGTAACATCTTTCTTCTGTTTTGGGCTCCTGGCAGCTTCATACTTTGTTAAACTGACTAAACGAGAAGACGTCAGACGTAAAGCTGAGTCTGTGCAGGATAGAAAGACACCGGGCATGCTGGGTAAAGACAGACTGTCCTCCGGGTGTGCGTCGAGCTGAGCGTCCTACCTGTGGCGACCTGGTGTCCGAGGCCTCTGCTGCCGCTGTGGATCATCACGCACACCTGACCTTTGTGGTCGATGCCCATCTTCTTGGCGGCGTAGTCGTTGTAGATCTCATCCACCACCTGGATCTCGGCGTAGTGGTTTCCTGCTCCCAGAGTCCCCAGCTTCAACACACACACACACCATCGCATTAGAAAAGATTGACGGGATTCCCATAACGAGCGGAAACATGGCTGGTAGCAACCTGCCCACTTGAAACACATTCTTTTAAGACCTCACTTCATTTTTCCCAGTGGTTTTGTTTCCACTTCACAACCTCCACTCCAACGTCAGCTTCGAACGAAACCACGCTGATGGGAATCAGCTTTATTATTCATGAAATATAACGAGTGAGAACCAAACCAGGCTGTTGAGAATCAGGTTAGAATCTGTTAAACCTATTTTGAGGGTTTAAAAATCCACAAATCTCAGATAAAACTGTCCACATGCAGACAGAACGTGTCCTAAAGAAAGGAAGACTCTGCACCACAGTAAGCTGGAAATACCTTCTGTGTTTTTCTCTGTACAAATCAAGCTCGCAGGTGTGATCATGTGATCTCCTGGTAGGAGGAGCCTGATGAAGAAACGTTAAATAAAACCTTCGGTGAGCCTCTCCCTCCATTGTTGCAGGGTTTTGTCCTGAAGCTGAGGTCAGTGTGCAGAACAAACAGACTGAAGGCTGCGAGTCACTGAGTAAATAATCGCAGGAGCGGCAGCAACCACAGAACCAGTGCACGCCTGAATAGTTCATTACAGGAAATTATAAAGATTTATAGCTGGAAAATAAAATAATAATAACTATCACTGTATAATTTTCCTCAATAACAATAGGACAATGTCTCTGGCAGTGCCGTCATGAATTGCAGACTTAATTAGAAGACAAGATTAGCAGGTCCTTCAAGGTGTGAAAACAGGCGTGGGCTCCGGGGCTGCTGGGATACCTGCGGCAGGCCTCGCTTCTTGGCCTTGGAGGACACTTTGTTGGGGTCGGCCTGCAGCATCCTGCCGTACTCCTCGCAGTGCTCCTTGTCCTCGGCCCAGGCGTAGCCCTCCCTCAGGGACCAGTCCACCCCCATCTCCAGAGCCTCCTCCAGGTCCCTGAACACACACAGGTGACACAGGTAAACAGGTGGAGCAGGTCAGGGTCTAGACTCTAGTCCTGGAGGATCGCCTCCTTACTTGGCCCCCATGGGGATGACTCCCTTGGACCCGACCCCCACTGGGATGTGGTCGAACAGCGACTGGGCCAGCTGCTCCTTCACCGGCTGAACGTCTCCCTCGTCCAGGTTCGTCCTCAGCAGGCGGACGCCGCAGTTTATGTCGAAACCAACGCCGCCTGCAGGAACAGAGACTCAGCAGGTGAACATTCAGACGATAGGGATTTTACATTATCACAGATTATACATCACGATCAGACCTTTACTTTATTTATTCAGGACCTCTGAGTAAAGCTTCTGTTTTGCAGGAACGTCCTGATCAACGCCTGAGCGGTAGGGTCGGGTATCAAGAACAGGTACCAGATTTCCAAGACCAGTGGCCTCATTAAGACCCGTGCGTTTGGATTCTGCTTCTCGGTTTCTAACTTTCTGCAGCCCATCAAAGTGTCTCTGATCTGCCAGGAGCTGCTACGCCGACCTAACGTCACCTCATGTGTTACGTCAACAAAGCCTGAACAAGAGATTCCTTCTGGTTCCGCTCCAAAGTTTGGTTTAGCTTCACTAAGAAACTGCAGCAGCTGCAGTCAGGAGGTTTGGTGCGAGGGAGGAAGCGGCTCCGACATGACGAAGCGTTTCCTTCAACGCGGGATTGAACCGACGACCTCCTGGACACCGGCTCGTTTGTAGGAGAGAAATAAAATGATGCAGATAATAACGAGCAGCGCTGTTATGTTTCCTCTTTAAGTCAGAACCTCACCTGGAGACACCACGGCGTCAGGGTCGTTCATGTCAAAGGCCGCCATGTTTCCGATCGCAAATCCATATCCAGAGTGAACGTCCGGGAGACCGATGGACCTCTGTGGAACCATTTAACACAGCGTCAACAGGAAGCGTTCAGCACGTTTTCACTGTCAAACCTCTCAGAGAGGGTTTGTAAAAAGCGTCCGATGGCGTTACTCACGTGTACGATCCCAGGCAGCGCCGCCACGTTCCCGATTTGTTTCATAGCGGGAAGGAATCCGCCCACACCTGAGGAATAAAACCAATCACAGGAGAGGTCAGCATACAGGTGTGGAGATGATGATGTCATGGGTTAAAAGAGCTGAGGTGAACGGCGGCTGACCTCCTCCCCGGGAGGCGTTCCGAAGCTCCTCAAAAATCAGCTTCTCCAGAGAGTCGTTCACATAGAAGGTTCCTTCGACCTGAGAGCAGAAACAAACTGTTTAAACGTTCACGTAGACGCTGCTGACTGATGAACCGCCAATAAAATGCCGCGAGAAACGATCCCGACAACATCTCTTTTCAGAGGTTAATCCACGTCGAGCTGCATTTCCTGGGTCAAACGCAAGAAGAAGCAAAACCGCTTCCTTCACACGTCACTCAGGTTCTCACGTGAATGTTTGATCAGGGCCGGATTACCGAGTGGACAAAGACCCCCAGGTACGTATTCATTCATTCATTTAATTGCCGTCATTATTTTATTTTTGTTCTCACATATTGCAAATATGATTAATTAAATACAATAATTTGTCTAATTAAATTACTACCCCCCCCCCCCAGATTAAGGTGAGAACACTTTAAAAAAAAAGTAGTATTTCCTTCTTAAATATGTGCTGATTTGCATATAACACAAATCCATTTTCCATCACATTAAGAGTCAGATTATTTTTTTTGTTGTCGTCACAGAACGGTTTATCAAAATATTGTTTTTTCATGGATTTATTCAAAATATACAGAGCTGCATGACTTGGACAATTATTGTGGACTATAATGCGATTGGATTATTGTGCAGCCCTAAGAATCTACCACTTTGAAGTTCAAACTGAAAACCTACTTTACTCCAGCCTCTCCCAGAATTCATGTTGGCACCTTTTCAAATCTTCCTAATCTGAAGTTTTATCTTCTTCATTCATTCATTATTGCTGTTTTTACTCTTTTGTATTTGATCCTGTGTATTTTTTGGAAAGTGGATTGGATCCATCCTCCATTGTGATTTTGCACCGTAAATTAAATATGATTTGATTCGATTTCCACATATTTTAAAGATAAAATGCCAGATAAAATAAAAATGACAATATTTAAAAAAAATAAAAAACACATTATAAACATCTTAACCTCAGACAGAGACTGTGAAATTGTGTGTTCATCCTGTTTGCTGTTGCATGCTGGGGCAGCGGACTCTGACAGACTCCATTAAGCTGCTGAACAATGTGAAATAGAGCTGTGTGCAATAAATATGTGAGCACTTCAGCACTTTACTTGTGATCCCGGTGCAACAGGGCAACGTGCAATAAACATATGAACACCTTAGAATATGCACTTTACACAAACTGCGGTGCAACAACCACACTGGCACTGTGTTGTCAACAATGTCCTTTTTCTTCTGTGTTTATATTTTCTTCTTGTGAAGTACAACATGAACACATCTCTTATGGATATATAGCCAACATTGGGCTCTAGAAAACAAACTTTCAAACAACAAATGATTCAATGTGAACAGTTGAAAAGAAACGAAATGGTTAAACTCAAACTTGGAAAATGCTAATAAAAATACAATACATAAAATACACAAATAATAACGTTTGTTTATATATATATAAAAAAAAATCAAGACTGATAATAGTTGCAAAATAACTTGAAATCTGAAAATTGATAGATAAAAGCAAAATCATAATTATGGTCTGTGGCGTCTCGCCTTAATACAGACAGATGGAAATAATTCAAACACATTAAAGCACATTATCTAACTTGTGCAACAACCAGGCTTCATTTAAGAGCACTCCTGATACTCAGCGGTGGACAGTAACTACATTTACTCAAATACTGAATTAAGTACTTGAGTATTTTCTTTTTCTACTCCACCACATCTCAGAGGGAGAGACTGTCACACTGAAATTTAACTATTCTGATGATCGTTTTAATATTAAGTTTGTCATGTCATATTGAGCATTTAAATGAGTAAATTAAACTATATTTTCTATTATTTACTTACACTACAACATATCTCGTTCTCTATGCAGATATTATTTTCATAAATCTTGAATAACTAAAAGTTTGTTTATATTAAGTTATCAGGGTTTTAATATCTCAATCTCGGGTTTTAATTAGGGTGAAAAAAACAACACAGACTTTAGGATGTCTGGTTAACCATTCTGTAGAATATAACTTTATAACTTTATAAATGTTTACACATCAGTATAATTTACCCTTTAATTGGTCGGCTGACATTTTATTGCTAATAGTTGCATCACTGAGCTACGTCAGCAGGTTTTATCTTTGTTTTACGGCAGATATCAGATGAGGTGACTGAGTTTTATGACTACATGATGTTTTTAACTATCCTGTTTTCTTCAGGGAGTTCCTGCCTGGTTAAAGTCTAAATAGCCAACATGCGCTAACTGACTGCAATGCTAACTGAAAAGCTAACCAGTTAGCCACGCTAACAGCTGAAAGTGTGTCCAGTCTCACCTGCATGTTGGGAACAAAACCCTTTTTAATCCTCCAGCAGTTGCTGTTGAGCTTCTCCAGGTACTGAAGCTCGTCGTTGTAACTCCGACTCATCGTTGATTCTTGATTTCGCAGAGTTTAACGCGCAGACTGTGTTTAAAACGCTGCGTTTCACCGGCTGTCTAAACGCAGAGTGCTGCCGCAGACACAGCGCTACGGAATCCCGCACAGCGATTTGACAGCAAAACGCGATTGTTAATATGGCATGACTCATGAAAATTTTAAAGATAAAAAAACAAATATGTCGTCTGTGTGACTCGTTTCATACAACTGCAGAGCTCTAATTAACTAGTCCAATTAAAGAAGTAACTGCTGTTAAAAAGCTTATATTGTGTTCGTTAATCGGCGTGTTGGCAAGAAAACTAAACCTCCCTCTTGTCGTAGTTGTAGTCAAATAGTTAGTGAAGCCGGATGTTTGGCGACTGGCCTTCAAAACAAAAGCATACGTAAAAATACTTTTAATTGAACACGTACAGAACAATCGATGCTTGTCACACAGTAGAACATGATATGTTATGTATCTTATCTCAACAGACATTTGCTTAGTTGTTTTTTTCCAGATATATATATATATAGTTGTGTATTTTGTTTTGTTTTATTTTCATTTTATATGTTACCTTATTCTAACATACATAATATATGTATGATTGTATATTTTGTTTTTTTATTATATATGTAACCATTTTCTAATATGCATTTAATTATCTGGTAAATTCAGTGTGTGAAGGGACTAGTTCAGATTAAAAACCTATTTGCCTATTCGTTAGTTACTAGTAACTATTCCAAAAGGTACTGGTAACCTTTTCATTACTTGTCATTACTAGTAAGAATTACAATTTTACTAGTATCTTTTGGAACAGTTACTAGTGTTAAATGAATATGTACTAGTATCTAAATAATAGATACTAGTAAATGGAATTAGTTCCTAGTAACTGATGAAAAGGTGATATTTGAACTGCAGAGCCCCGTAGATTTCAATGGCAAAATGTGCAATTAGTTACTAGTAACTAAAAAATACTTACTAGTAACAAGAAATTAAATGCTATTGTTACAATCATTGTTATAACTGCTACCAGTAAAACAAAAGAATAGTCACCAGTAACTAATGGAATAATTACCAGTAACTAATAAAATAACTAGCAGGTTTTAAGTAATAAAGGAATAAAAACGGCTTAATAAATGTACAATTTGTTACTAGTAACTAAAAAAGTACTAGTATCTTGTGAATTGTTACTAGTAAAACGGGAATAGTTACTAATAGCTTTTAATCAATAACTACATATTGGACTGATATATTTTAAGACCTTTTATCCTACTTTATTTTTTTCTTTTAAAATCTTATTTATGTGTCTCTTCATATCATCTTTATATTTTTTCTTAATGCGGTGTTATGTAGTATGTAAAGAATATTGCCTTGGGTGAACATGTTTAGGTATTCATAAAGGTTCCAAACAGAAAAGAGCAATGAAATCTACTCTAATGAAGGTTTAGGGCCTTTCTGAAAGAGCTATTTTAAAAGTAGCATAAAAATGGGGCTCGGTATTTAGTTTACTTTGGTTTTTATTTTGAAAATCTTTTCATCTCTCAAACAGGAAGTTGCCGTGATTAGCTCTGCTAGCTTCACGCCTGCGCTGTCTAGTAGCAGCTGAACTGTTTACAGTGCGACATTTCTGCAAAGTGTCTTAAAACGACCTGGATATTTTTACTTTCAACACTTTAACTTATCATGTAAGTGTTGTTTTCTGTCTTTGAAGCTCTGACTGCTTTTAAATCTCCTAAACCAACCGAAGGTAACGTGAACCAGCAGGTTTTAACTGTAACGCAGCAACTTGTTAAAACGTCAGCTAACGTTCAGAAACGAAAACGAAACATTTCATTTCTGATGAAATAATAAGTCAGATTTTATGTTCTTAACTTGTGCTGTATTTCTCCAGTCTGCTTCTGTCTTGTTTTATATATTGGGCTGTAATATTTGGCTAATGTGTTGACGGTTTTGTTGGTTCTAACGTTAGTTAACAGTAATTATAAGTAAATTTAATGTGAATTTAGTGCGAAATTACACAAAATACAGTCTGGTGTCAGGCCAAAACAAAGCTGCAGTTCTCCCAACAAGTAAAAACATCGATAATGACTCGTCAAAAAACGTCGGTGTACCAGGGTCTGGTTCATGACAACATACTTTGTGAATTTGCAGCAGCAGTTTGGGGAAAATCTGCTCCTGTTTGACCACGACATTACTCTAAATCTATTATTTTAATCGTAGAAAATGTTTAGAGATGTTTTACTTGCATCAGGATCTGCATCACACAGCGTTGGGCAGGCAATAGTAGTAGATAAACATACAAAGATGCTCTGTCATCTCTCCACCAAACTCCACTAAGTTTCCATCACATTTTAGGGGCTCAGTTGTTGCACTAGCCTACTAAAAAATACGTTAGGAATGAAATGAGAGAAGAAGTATGTTGACTACAACAAACACAGTTACAAAACAACACAGTAACTCATAAACCTGTCTGGTACAATAACTAACTTATAGTATAATTTAAGCTGTAAACCAGTCTTTTGTTTAACTACATCATCGTATGTGTCAGTAAACGTGAGGACGGTTACGGCTGCTCTGTTTGATTGTTCTCGTTAAGTCTGTCCATGTTCATTCATTTGTCGTCCACAGCATGAAGCTGCGAGTTCGGATCAACCGGCAGACCAGCAGGGTGGAGTTACTGGGAGAAGAGCCCAGTTTGACAGAGCTCATTGATCACATCAAGGGGACCGTTTTGCCTTCTCACGGACTCGGGTCAGAACCAGCCCTGAGACGGGACCCACATACTTTATTATAAGCTGTTTCTTATCAAGAAGTTTTCAGACACACAGTGTAAAATAAAACAATGTTCGCACTGAACTATTTTCACTGGTTTGTTTCACTGATATAATTTATAACCCAGACGTCAGTTGCAGGTCAGATGTTTCCCTGACGTCAGGCGGTGTTTTCTGTTTCTCCCTCAGAGCAGACGCAGAGTTCAGATTGTCTCTGAACGGCTCGGAGTTTCTGTCGGACACCGGTCAGACTCTGTCGTCCTGCGGCATCGTGTCCGGAGATTTGATCTGCGTCGTCCTGCCCGAATCTGAAGCCGCCAGCTCCGCCAACACGACAGCCTGCAGAACAGAGAACCAGCAGAACCAGCAGAACCAGCAGAACCAGAGGCAACAGCAGAACCAACAGAACCAGCAGAACCAGAGGCAACAGCAGAACCAACAGACCCGACAGACCACTGCCACGACGTCCAGCCAGGTGAGTGGAACCAGTTCATCTGGTGAAAACATACAAAGGTAGAAGAAGTACTCAGATCTTTACCTTGCAAAAACAGTAATACTCCAGTGTAGAAATACACAAAAGTGGAAGTTTTATTATTGAAAAATATACATAAAGTACCAAAAGTAAAAGTAGTACTTATGCAAAATCATAGATATTATTGGATTATATTTATTGATGTATTCATGTGTTCATCCCTTTAATGCTGAAAAGAAAAACATTTTAAATGTAGTGGAGTAGAAGAATAAAGTGGCAGCAAATGGAAATACTAAATAGTACCTCAACATTTTACCTGAGTAAACATTGTTCCTTAGAAATCGGATCACTCGTCACCTTCAGCTGACTAATTTAATAATTGGAGATAAATTAGATCAACGTTAACAAGAAGCAGACTAAATGAAACATGACTCTGTGTTTTTATACAAAAAGTTGTGTTTGTCCTTCAGGGAGAATAGAAGTTTAAAGTATTCTGACACTGTAACATGGCCTCCAGTTTTATTTACTTTTCTAATGAACAAAGTGAAAGAGGTTTGTTGGTGAAGCGTTCAGGTGAATAATTTGATAGAAGAAAGAAATTCGGCCTGAATCTGTCGGGACTCGTCGCGTTTTATGAGAAGAAACCTGAAGTTCAAACAGCTGTCAGTGAAGCTCGGCGTGTTTAATGCCGAGTCAGTCCTCAGATTACAGCCGACTCGGCAGCAAACGTGTCTGAGTTTGCAGCGTCCCTGTGAAGATCAGCTCCTTCACAGCTTGTTCACCATGTTGCAGGCAGACCCAGGCTACTTGCTGAAGCAGTCATTGCTCAGTGTGGAGGATCCTGACAGTAGAGATGCAACGATTAATCGATCAGTTGGTTGAAAGAAAATTAATCTGCAACTGTTTTATTAATCGTTTCACTCATTTTTTTAAAGCAAAATGAGAAAATGTTTCTGGCTTCTTCTTCTTAAATGTGAAGATTCGTCGATAATGAAAATAGACTTTGGCTGCAGCCCTACCTAACAGTCTTTAACGGTCTCTGCGATGAACAGCCCAGCAGCAGCCCTGCAGCACCCGCGGAGGCTGAGACCGGTGAGATGTTGGACTCTGGACCTTCGGTGTCCAGCTGGGAGCCGATGCTGTGCGGCGAGGCAGAGGAGGGTCAGGCTCCCCTCTCTCTGGAGCTCCTCTACCACTCCGCCCAAACCGCCAGTCCCAGCGACGCCATCGTGGTGGCCGGGAACCTGCTGATGCTGGAGACCGGGTTTGTTCCTCAGGTGAGACCGCAGAGGTTACTACAGAACGGTGTGGGCTGAAGTCAGGCAGGTGACGGTGAAATACTCCGTGTGTGTGTTCAGGGCTGCGAGCTGAAGCCAGGTGAGATGCCTGCAGGGTGGAGGTCTGCAGGTGGAGTCTACAAACTGCAGTACACTCATCCTCTGTGTGAAAACAGCCTCGCCATGGTGGTAGGCGTGTGCATGGGCCCCGTGCTCGTCATCAACGGTGAGTTTGTTAACCTTATTTCACGATCCCGCTGTGTGATCGGACTTTTAAACCGAAAGGTTTCTTCTTCCTGCAGCGACTCTGAAGGTGAACGAAACGGTCGACACGGTCCGCAAACTGTGTCTGAATCCATCCAGCTACGTGACCGACGCCTGGCCAGGTAGAGAGCTCTGATTGGTCGAAATGACACCAGCCCAGCGTCGGAGCGTCTGTGAATAACTCTGGTGTAAATGTTTCTGTCGTTCAGGAGAAAGTGCAGCGGCTGCTTTCAAAGACCTGAACAAGCTGTCCAGGACCTTCAAAGACCAGCTGGCGTACCCGCTGATCGCTGCCGCCAGAGAAGGTACGGACTCAGGAGGA